TATATATATATATATATATATATATATATAAACTAAATTACGATATTATCACAAATTATCGACATTGATATAATTGAATAATATAAATATAATTATTTATTATATATTTGTAATAAAACTCACTTACCCCCCCACCCCCTCTTTAGGTAAGTTGGCTGAAGTTGTTTAGAAGTCGTTTTACTGTAACGTGGCTTCTGAAAAAGAAAAATCAAATGAAAACCTTTTAATGTTGAACAACAATAACATGAACTCTCGGACAAAAGCAATAAAAAAAAAAAAAATGTGCAAAACAAAAAGGAAGTAAAGTATTGAAAAGAATAGAAAGAAAATGGTGAAGGAAAGTAAAGGAAAAGGATAGAAAAAAACTAACGGAAGCTTAGGGAACCCCCTACCCTCACTCACACAAACACAAATCGTTAATCTTCCGTGAAGGAAACATTCGTACCGACTGACGGTGCTCAGAAACTTGAAACCACCCCTCATAAGTCTAAGTACCACTTTTTTTTTTTATATGTGGGAATACGTACAAAACGTTCGAGAAAAGGAGAGAGAGAGAGAGAGAGGAATATAAGGGAAAGAGTTTCTTCTTTCATGAACAAAAAGAAGGGAGAGAGAAAATATTTTAAAGGGACGGAATTTTCGAAGATTTCTTTTACGTCATCGTCGTTTCAAAACCACAATTCGATAAAGTCGAACCAAACTTACAAAGTTATGTATATTTTTGTTTGTTTCTTTTTTTTTTTTTTTCGAAATCTTTAATAAGTATATAATTTAATATTTAATATTATATATAAAATTATATTTTTGTATACAGCATTGTTTTAAATTTTTAATGATGTGTTTGATAATCATGTGATGTGATAATAAATGGTTTAAATACAAATATAAATATAATATATTATTGTATTATATTTTTTAAGATAGTTTACAATATCTAATTATAAATGAAATGTACAATAATTAAATATAAATATAATATAATTATTTTATATTTAAACTACCCTCAACCCCATTGTATTTGAAGGTTCGATCAGTTCACGTTTCTGTGTAAAAAATTCGCTTTTGTTTTGTGTTTCATTCGAAGTTGTATTTAAAATTATAAATAAGTACAAATTAAGAGGAATAATTAAATTCATTTAATATAATTAAATATTATACTTTAATATAATAAATAAATAAATATTGTAATTTATTAAAATTAAATTATAATAAATTATAATTATAATATTAAATTAAATAATATTATAATTATAATATTAAATTAAATAATATTATAATTATAATATTAAATTAAATATTATAATTATAAAATTATTAACTCATTTAATATAATTAAATTAAATTTAATTAATTTGTAACGATAACTAAATTGTACAATCAACAAATACAAAAATTATATGCGAAATAATTAACAATTTATTTGTTAATAAATCAAAGAAACTTTAAAATCCTTTTTTCTTGTCCTACTTAAAGAAAATATAAAAAAAGAAATTTAGAAAGATAAAAATAAAAAAAAGAGAAAGAGAAGGATTTGCCACACGTATTTCTGTAATGGGATACACACACACCCATCTATATATATATACAGGGGGTAAAAAAAAGAGAATTAAAGAAAACTTCGATCGATCTCATTGCAGACGCACCTGTCTTGAACCGGAAGACAAACGAGGCAAGCATGACCGGAAGTTCTTTCCTAGTTGGTTGCTTCTACTCTTAGGTTAGTTTAATAGTTGTCGTACATTAAAAAGATTATTCCGATAATGTCAGGTAATAAAAATGACAAATTTTTTTACACAGAAATGTTTTAGTTCAATTAATTTTTATTATAGTTTAGAAAACTTTGTGCATATTTTGACATAAGAATTATTTAAAATATATAAATAATGGTAAAAGTTAAGAATTTTTTATTTGAAGTGACCAATACATTAAAGTAACTTTTATTTTTTTTTTTAATATTTTATAATTAATGTAACAATTTATTAAAGTAAAAATAATTTTAAATAACTTCATTTGATTTTTGTTAAAACTTCAAATTTATTTCTAAATATTTTTTTTTTTTTATAAAAAATCAATATCTATTTACCTTAATAATATAATAAAAATATATTTTATATTAAATATATTTATATAATATTATATAATATTTATTATTTAATATTAAATATATATAATATTTATTTGTAATGTTAAAAATATAATCAAATTTATATTATATTATATTATATATTGAATTTGTTTAATACTTATTTAATTAAATAATATAATATTATATATATTTAATATTATTTTTATATATTATTTAATAAATATTTATTATTTTTTATTATTAAATATATATATAATATTTTATATTGTATATTATTATAATAATCTTTATTTATTGCATTTGATTATTTTTGATTGTAACATTATTTAAATATCTAATAATAATAAATAATAATAATTGCAAATATTCGAAATCACAAATTACAATTGCATGCACTCCCCATCAAATCTTTCATTTTACCATTAAACCTTTCAACAAATTTTTCCAACAAAATTTATATTTATTTCCCATATATAAAAATCAACAAATATAAAAATCTAACTCAACTTTTGAATCTCTACCATTCATTAATAAAAAAAATTTTTAAAATAGTTCCCAAAATGCTATTTCTTTTCAATATACAAGAAAAAAAAAAATAATAAAAAACAAAAAATTAGAATATCATTTCAATTTAAAAAGTATCAAATCAAACGCCATGGAGAGGGAGTAAAACCTGGCAATAAGGAAAGGAAGAAGAAGGATAACAAGGAAGAAAAAGGATAGAAAACTTATGCTGTTACCAGTACGGTGGCAATTATGGGGACAGGATTTGCATGAAAGTGGAAAAACTTTTTGTTTTCGGGTTGAACCAAATCCCCCATCACCACCATCACAACCACCACCACCACCACCACCACCTTCACCTGCACCATCACCACTACCTTCGATATCACCAATTCTTTCTCTCTCTTTTTTTATTCACCCTTCCTATTATTCACCTTTCCAAACCCACCCACTACCCCCAATCGAGTCTCTCGCATATTTGAATATGAAGCGTCCGTAAATTTTTTTTTTTCCTTTTTTTTCCACTAGCATGCGCGTGTAGACCGCGCTGAGCTATCAGCCAACGAATTAACCCTTCTGTTCGAAAAGATACCACGTGCTGCGACACAATTCCCAATCAACCCCAGGTACTACCCCCTCCCTCCCTCCCTCCCTTCTTACTCTTCCACGTTGCAATTTTTTTTCTCTTCCTTCACATTTTCTTTTCTTTTTTCTTTTTTTTTTTTTTTTAACGGAATAAAAGAAAATCAAGGAAGGAAGGAAGAAAGGAAGGAATGAAAAATCAGATTACTGTGAATAATTTTTTCCTACTTCAACAAAATTTCATGAAAATGTAAAAAAAAAAAAGAAAATTCTTTTACAAATTTGTCTTTTCACGTCCTGGTAATAAAATAATTTTTTTTATTATTATTATTATTATTTATTAATAACTTTTATTATATTTTATTTATCATCATTATTAATTTCTTTCATATTTATATTTATTTATTTTATTTTAATAATATAATAATAAATAAATATAATAAATATAATAATAATTAATATTATTATATTTATTTATTATATTTATTCTTCATCATTTATTCCTATTTTGTTATGATTATTATTATTATTATTTGTTAACAATAATAAAAAATAAATAAAATAATAATTAAATCGATAGAAAAACGTTTGGTACAAATAAGAATTGTATGTTTTATTTTGTTTAATTCGTCGTATTGAAATGTCACATAGGGAACAATCTACGTTGTAACCTGTAAACCTACTGTAAACGTAGTCCCATAGCAAACCTGTGCTCGATTAAAGTGTACAAACTTTACGTATTTGTATTTTACAAAATTAAAGCGCATTATTGTGGTCCAATATTCGTGTACTACATAACCCATCTACTCAAACATATAAAAGGTTCGTATATTTAAATATATATGTATATATGTAGAAAACGGATGGTTAAACCTACTTACATATATTTATAATACACGCATAAATGTATGTATATATGTATATATATATATATAGAGAAAATTGTATGTAGGAAACTTCTGTGGTATTCTGGCAAGCACCCAAGCGTTTTCCATCCCTGTAATATCGTGGCTAACGTTACATTTCGTCGGTGTTCGAGAATACATTTATTTCAAAGTAACTCACACACATACGAGTAATACACTTTCAAAAAAAAAAAACGATTTCTATCTTTCTTTTTTAATTTTTCTATTTTTCTTCTGACTGTAAAATAAAGAAAAGGAGCAGGAAAAATAAGGTGAAAGTGAAAAGGATCTTTTTTTTTTGTTTTTTATTCAAAATTATATGAACATTTTTAAATAAATGAGAGTATAAACGAAGCTTAAAAGAGTTCAACAAGGTGGAATAAAAAGGTGAAAACCTTTTTAAGGAAGGGGAAAAAACAGAAATTTAATATTCTAATTTTAACTTGGAGATTTCTAGGTATTTCTTTTTTTTGAACTTTCTTTTTTTAATAATAAAACTGTATTCACACACACTGTTAAGTACTTATATATATTGTATTGTGAGTTACAAAAATATTCGTAATCGTTCTTATTGTTAATTTAAAATAATTAATATTTTTATTTGAAAATAAAAATCTTCTATATTTTTATTTGAGGATTAAAACATTTTTTAAATTGATATTAATTTTATTATAAAAAAATATTTTTTATTTTATTAGAAAAATATCATTTCATTGGAATGATCAAAAATTGATTATCTAATGAGAATATTTTATACAAATAATTACACAGATATAATATAATAAATATAATAAAATATAATATAAATATAATAAAAATAAAATGAGATTTGCAAAGATTTTGCAATATTTGTGAACGTTAACGCGTTTGTAAATAAAATTCTAACATTCATTTATTAAACAATTAAAATTATTATTACACGTATTAGATTTTGTTGTTTTATCACTTTCTTTTATTTTAATTTTAAAAAAAGTTTAATTATATACTCGATAAATCGGATAAAATTCGATCGCAAAAGATTAAACGGAGAATTTGTATCATTTAAATCTACGCTTAAAGATAAAACAGTAAGTGTAGCATTATAATTGACTCGTACCACGGTCTCAAACATAAATAT